CTATAAGAGTTGTGGGACTGGGGGAGGGGCGGAGAGGTATCAGGACTGTCTGGGACAGCTATAGTCTAAGGGATGGGTTTGAGAGGAATTCTCAAGGCGTTGAGCGAAAGAAATTGTCTGGCATCGTGGAGAAAGGATATGGAAGTCAGGGGTGTTGAGTCACTATGTCACGCTTGCTGTCATAACGTACCTAAAGGCTATGTGATACCTCCTCCACCGTTGTATTTTGCCTGCCTATTATCCGGCATTAACTGCGAATATAAAGGTTTTGACTTCTCGGCCCGTTTTAACTGGTTAGCTTCCTCGTCGGATCCACTTCTCTGGTCCATAAAAAATTATTTGAACGTTTATTACAATATTCTTTGATGGCTGCGGATCCACTGGAGCGTAAAAATGTATTGTGTTAAGTTATCACTGCTAACTCAATATCTCAGGCTAGCTTCGCACACTGCAATGACCATTGCCTCACATTCCTGTTGAGCAGTTCAGCTGGTCAACAGCTTGGTTTTCTTCCTTTCTCACCTTCATCTCCTTAGTAGGGTGTCCAACCTTCGCCACCAGCGCAACACGGGGGCACAAACCCCCGGTCGCAATTAACACACTCCACCCAGCTAAAGAACTTCTAGGCTTGAATGGAACTGATTTGAGAAAGGCAGACACGAGAGGAATAAAAGATATCGATATTGACCTGTTAACCTTGCGACTTATCCTTCTGCAATGGTGGGTGAGCGGCCCTCTTTAAATACAAAAAGAATTGCTAATCTCCCGGGAGCCTTCCTATCAGGATCCTGCCTTCTCCGTCACTTCCAGCTCCATCTCCTTACGATTCAATCTAACCTTTACCTTACACCTACTGTTTGTCTCCACCGCTGCGGTTCTTTGCTTTCCTTTCCCGTTCTTCGCTTGCCTCTCCGGTTCCTCGCTTTGCTCTCCGGTTCCTGCACCGGTAATGGTTCCGCCGGTTTTCGTCCCGATTCATTCTTCACCGCGATTATATCGCTCCTTGATTCCGTTGTTTTCGTTTACTGCTGTCGTATCCGAGTTGCCTTTTATCCTGCTCCCAGTACTCGTATTCGCTCATGTACCATTTTCGTTTCTACCACTACCCCCGCACATCAAATGAAAAAACATAATGCTGACCAAAACCCTCAGGCCAGCCTCCGGGTCAGCGCCGGAGATTAACGATACCAGCGAGCCCCCAACCAGAAACACCATAACCCGATCAAGGGCCCGGCTCTTACACTCAATCACCTGCTGTTTGTATGTCACCGTTACATGATCCCCTCCTGTACTCTCTCAACTGATACTGAGGAAACCTGCTAGTCCTGCCTTCACTTCCGCAAGCTGTCCAGGATTTAAACATTTCTAAACCCATCACTCAACAACGCAATGGTTATCACCCTCAACCCGCACCAAGCCGTTGCTACAATGAGTGTGACCATCCCATACTACAATTACTCTCCCTCAGCCGTCATGAGATCCATGAGCAATATGTGATTATGCGAATCATTTACCACCCGGATTCCTATTATCCAGTCTCCTGTATTAGAAGGCCCTTGTAGGCATATTCATCCAAATGTCTGGTCTCTACCAGGTGGTCGCTCTGGCCCTGCGGCTACTCCCACGGCAAAAGCAAATTCGCTTAAACATTGCCGGGAGTAGTGAAATCGATGACAAGATTCCGGAGTACCTCAGGAATGTTAAGGCAAAGTCAACAATCATATCGCACAAGTGTGGAATCCAGAGGAGTCACAAGGCTGCGCTTTGGGAACCGGAAAGCCTACCCATCAGTTCCCCTAGTGATTCTACTATTACAGAATATGGCTCGCTAGTTGCAGTGTTTCGCGAAGTCAACCAGTTCGGAATAGCTAAGCACAAGAGCGGTATGAAGAAGCTGTCAGCGGACCTTGGATACTTCGTGTAGGAACTACGGAAACGACCTGGGAGGCGTGTTTAGTTACGGGGTCTTGAGAACATCCTGAATTATTTTGCTGCAACCATCGGTGACATTAATTGGTTTGAGAAATACCGCTTCTCTATGGCCTCATTGATGGACCACGATTGGGGCGATTGCTACGCCTTCATGGGTCTTATAGTTGGACATTCCGTACCGGTGCTTGCTGTTGAAGCCACCTGTGAATACCTGCCGCAAGAACTACCTGGCATTCTACATACCTCACCTCGAAACACTTTACAGTAGAAACCGGAATAACCAACCCAAGATCTGTTTCCCCAAAGATTCCCTTCAAAAATCATGGGTGATAATAGTGTAAAATGTCGGCTGTTCCTCCCCTCTCAGTAGCAAACATGCCAACCTACACCGGGTATTCCCTGATGAACAGCAATAGCATCTCAAATATTTCCATTTCTCGTGTTTCCAGAGGCGCTGCATTTTTTTATTCCTGGACTCATATTGAAGCGGACTCACCAGCCCTACAATTGTCCAATCCACTGCGAGTTCGCACTAATCGCGTGCTAGAGAACCAGAAAGGTGGAAGCACAAGTGAGAGCAAAGGAGATTGGAGACATGAATGCAACATGTCCCCCTTAAATTACCTTTGGTCACCAAAGCCTAGTTTCCCGGTACGGTCTTGGACCAACCTATATAATAACCTAGGAGATTGGAGCCTTTACACCAGGGGATCCAACAAAATGTGGATATGGCCATGGGAATTACCAGAGACAAACTCCGAATAACTAGCTATTCATATGGCCAACGACATTGCCTCGCAGTATCAGGTGTAGCAAGAGCGAGTATTGCGTCAAATCCCGGTCTTTATAACCCCCCTCTATGGTCATGGGATCGTGGGATCCGTGCCATGCGACTGAAGCTAGCGGCTGGAAATTGTCTCTATTTCGCAAGAATCGGAACATTGCAACTCTCTGAATTCCTCAACGGGTAGTATGGGATAGCGCGAATCTCAGTTCATGACTTTCAGTCACCAAGTAGCTGGAATTTCAGAGTTTGTGATTGACTTCCTACTCCCTATCCATCGAACGCATTTTCTCCGGGATTTGATGCAATGTCCCGACTGCCCTACTATATAGTTAACGCAACAATATCATTTTTTATTCATTTATGGTTCTAGTAAGCCGAAGTCTTTTACTTTCGAACTCGGAAAATTGTGTAATTTCTCTTAGAAGGCATCGGCTAAACTGGAGCCAGAACGATACCAATCGGCGACGAAACCAAACGGCGATGACTATATAGGCCGTGAAAATCCTTGCGCAAAAAAAAGCGGGCAAGTTTACCTATATCCCTCCTCAACTCGCTCTATTCAACGGCCCTCTCTCTCTCCTCGCTCGCACGCCATACCACTAACTGACAGGAAAAGCCAGGAGTACAAATAAACGACAAGGGTCACCTATCCTATCCTGGCTGCGACCACATACCGGTATCTCTAACGCCTCCCGCATTCATCTCCATTTTCTCTTATGGGCTTGCATGCTATCAATCATGCTGGCAAACAATGCACAAACGATAGACTCCACGAAGACTCCAATTACCTTCGGTGCTCCAATGGACTTCCGCGCTTGCACTGCCTTCCACGTTTCCCTGCGAACAAAGGAAATATGGACACAAAGACTACCGACTGGCCGTAACTCCCCCTCCGTTCATATCCTTTTCAATCAGAAGCCCATTTCGCAAGTACACAACCAGAACTTCGGCCCCAACAAAGCGAATGCGCCAAAACAACAAATGGGTTCCGGGGGAGGCGTGAACGGGAACGGACGGGTGGGTTGGCAGGAATGAACACACAGCCGGCTCCGGGACCGTAGAGCGAATATACAGAGGAAATAGACGGACGGGTAGAGATGCTAATGGACAAGAAAACAAAGCCATGTGCATGCCGAGCAGCAGCCACGGTTCCCAAGAATTGACGTGCTTATAATCAGAGTTCTAACCATCGGGACGCCCCACTGGGCTCAGGCATGTAGAAGTCTGAGGCGTCCAGGGAATGGTGGGTAAGGACGGCAGGGCATGGCGTGCTTCTTTCATAAATACGACCCTGCAAAGGGTTGAACCCCGGGCGCCGCAGTCCAGGAAGAAATAGCATCTTCTGCCGGTTACGTGCACGCCCCGGTCATTACCTGCGGGGCCCGCCCGTCATCCACTGTCACCCGCTGAAACGTGGCACATCCCGCCTCGTGAGAAAACAGCAGGGCCCGCCCGTTCGTCTGTCCCGGGTATCCACCTATCCAATGCCGTCCGTCCGGTCCGCACCCAAGGACAGCCGGACTGGACACTTTGGTTCACTTCTCATAATCATTTCTACTCCAGTGCAAAATTTGGTATCTTTTAATATCATTAAATTAATTCGTATCATATTGCCCTGGAGTTTTCGAGTTTTGGTTGCCACACCACCCGAGGTTTTTTTTGGATATGACGGAGAAAAAAATGGGCCACGTGTCATTGTTGAAAATCAAAAGCAACGTGTTCATCTTATTGGACCCCTGAAATTTGTCCAAAAAGGCACACGACTCTTCTTCCCATGCTTGATTGCAACAGCCTGCCACGATATACTACAACACGTGAAGCCGGGAGAGGGGTGTGGAACTGAACAAGAGATGACGGGAAGTATTGTACGCAAAAGACCTGAAGGAGAAGACACTTATTAAAATGATCGTCTAGGTGTACTTTAGCAATCAAGATTTGCAGCCCCTTATGAAACGCTCGCTAAGGACACCTAGAGTGATATGATAATAGAAGTATCATAGATTCCGTTAGGTCAACTCTAGCAATTTTTGGTCATCGAGGATGGGGTTTGGAGAATTACCCTACCTTTGCCTCTGCCAAGCTTGCTGATGTGGCTCCGAGTATAAAAACCCTTAGACGACAAATCCCGTCACTCTCTCCCATCACAACACTACTACACTCCAACGAAGAATCGCCCATCATGTCGAACAAATTCAAATATTGTGTCGAAATTCAGCAGGTACTGCCCTTTCCTTCAATCAAACGCATAGTACGTGGTGGTTGTCCAGGCTAACATGTTTAGATGATGTTTGTTTCCGGCGAAACCTGCGAACCATCTGCAGAAACTGCTGGAATGGTGGAAGAAATTGTGAGGGGCCAGATTATTGAGATGGTACGACTTTCATATTCCACTTTGCCGGTGAAGATTCTAATCCGCAATAGCTACAAAAATGCTCCTCAATTGCGTCCCGTCGCGGGTCTCGCTCCCTTTCGACGCAGGATCTCATCTTCCTTATGAGTCATGATATAGGGAAGGCCTCTCGGTTACGGACCTATTTATCATGGAAATATGTCCGGAAGAGCGCAAGAGATAATGATCCGTCACTGGGCGCCGAGGTGCACGATTCTGGAGACCATCCCGACGACCCGGTGGGGCCTACTACGATGGGGCAGAAGCGGGTAAGGACCGCTCTTCCGTGGGGCATTGCTAGTTCATTCTCCGAACAATTCGATGAAACCGAGGAAGGCGAAGACGAAGACGCGGTAGAAGAGAACGCAGCCACACTGCAGCGTCTCAGAAATGCCGATGAACGCACGCGAGGTATGACTAGAGACCAATACGTACATTGGTCACGATGTCGCCAGGCATCCTTCACATACCGCAAAGGAAAGAGATTTCGGGACTGGGTTGGGATAAGAACCATTACAGATGCAACGCTTGATGATGATATTATCGACATTCTCGGTTTCTTGGCCTTCGAAATTGTCCAGACTCTTACGGAAGAAGCGTTGGAGGTAAAGCGGTTAGAGCATAAGGTTTCATTGGGGGCTCGAGAGGAAAGCAAAAAGCGGAAGCGGGGGAATCTCTGGTTTTCCGCTGAGGAGCAGAGGACCCCTATTGAACAACGACATATTGTAGAGGCTTTCCGAAGGCTTCAATCCCCGAAGCCCAAATGGCGGGCCATGAAGAACCTTTCGGCTGGAGTGTTCAAATCAAAATTGACTTTGGTATAGCGCTTGCATGAACCCTGTACGATGCTGTCATTGCTCACAATTCGTCATGGCCAAATAGATGATGGTCCTTATGTAGAGATGGGGTTATTCCCTTGCTTGTTTTGCATTTCTGCTTTTAATCTCGTTAACTAGACTGTTATCGATTTTACTGCACGCCGCCTCCTATATACCAGAACAGTAGGATAGTTCCCCTAATATTCTATTTAATTACCTCAATTTATTAATGTTAGTAGAGATCGCGATATTCCTATGAAGGCTGGGGAGTGGTGTGTAAACCCCTGCCCTGGTAATTGTTTGTATCACGAACCAAACGACCCACGGCATAGCATATGATAACCCCATCCTCACTTATATACCGACTTGGATGGAAATGGTACGGTGGAAAGCGCCTAAAGGTGGGTCCTCCGGTGAAACAGCAATTCCGTTGCAACCGACCGGAATTGAGCCGAGAATTGCCAAGACTCTAAGGGCAAAGTGAAATGCCGTTTACCTCCCAGCAATGTACAATACAGAACAGTCGTTAGAGCAGGAATGTAATATAATTAAGAGATTTTTTGTTATATGAGAATGATGAAATAGGTTTAAAGGAAAAAATAAGTCTACTCAAGAAGGATCCTGTGTAAAGGGAACCCGACGATGACTCTTATATAGAGTTTTTATAAATTAATCTGTACCATAACACAAGCCAGTATAGTAGGCATCAAGTATACGATTACTTTTCCACCAGTATTTAAGAAGCAAAAGGGGTGGTACTTCCTGTAAGGCTTTTGGAACTGTCTTAATTAGTGAAGGCCAATTGTATTGACAATTCTTTCTTGTAAACCATTTCGCCCTCCCCCACCTGTATTCAATCCAATTTAGTTCACGAGAGAACTTTAGAAAGAACAAACATAAATGGCCCCTTTTTTCAATTTCTTCCTGAAGGCGTGACTTTTGTTCCATGAAATCTGGCTGTACTGAGAGCAGCTGTCTGGCACAGCAAGAGTTACTCTGATGGTTTCTATCCTTTTTATCTTTCTTGCTTTTACAGTTAAGCCTCAATCCTCCTTCTGGCCAGAGGCCACGCTCTTGCAAAATCCTCTTACATCCTTTAGGCATTCCACGCCACCTCTCTGGTACTGTCATATCATCCAAAGCAAAGCTCATTTTCTGAACATATAGAGTTGCTCTATTTGGTTGATAGAACCAACTATCTCAAAGTTGTGGTTGTTTACCACCAGGATCCATATTGATATTGGCTACTCGAAGAGCATCAGATTCATCTACTGTATGTGAGGTTGCATGATCAAAGAGGAATAATGCTTGGGCATTAGGAAATGTTGCTTCAAAAATTGGAATAGCAACATTCAATCCATGGTTGACTAGATTTTCACCATTCTACCAGGATCCTTTCCCAACCATGATGTATTCAGTTGCCTGTCGAGGATTGAGTTTTAGTCCTGGAATTGGTTTCATCTCCCTTTCTTTCAACGCTGGTAGGTGTGGAATAGTTGGAGGTATTTCAAGCCGATTGCAGGGGAGAATGAAATCGGATACCATGAGCCCTTGGCCTTGTGATTTTTTCCGAATAGGATACTTGTCTTTATGTATCCAATGATGATGTACACCATTATTGGAATGAAATGTGCATTCATCATGTGCACAAGGAATTAATAGTTGCTCATTGGCAGGTAAAGGGGTATTGTCAAGCTCTCCTGAAGGCAACCATTTTGGCATTCGTTTTTCCAATTTCTTCCATTGGGGAAGAAAGTGATGCTGTCGCTAGAAAACTACCTCTGGCTTCTCATGGCCATCAATATACACCCCCTTCCTGACTTCATTCCACTCACACCCTAGTTTCTTCAACCATTTAATTGCAGTTGAAGCTAGGATACTCATTTTACACCAAGTATGCTTCTCAATGAGTGCCTGGTAGACACAGGCTACTCGTATCTCTGCATCATGTTGGCTTGTCCACTGAGCCCAATGGTTGGTAACTGTCTTTGCAAGTCCTTGTCCAGATAATACTATTAAGTAATTTATTATTCTATTAGTTATAAGATATAAGGGACAAATAAAGAAGGTTTGCAGAGAAGTACCTTCATCAGCACTGTCCAAGTACTCTCGTACTGCAATGAGTGTTCCTTCATCCTTCAATATCCTTTGTGACTTTGCATGCTTTCCTCTTTGACTCATTGTAATTGTTCTGGTCCTTATCCAGCTCATTTCTCAGCGAATAATATTCTCTGCTGTATGCTTTCCGCGCTCCCAACCAACTGCAGTATTAACTGCTGCTTTCTTCCTTAGCAGATCAGGATACTTGAGCTGCCAGTTTATATATTGGAGAACTTGGAAGTATCGTTCTAGGTCTTGCAATGAGTATTCAATTTTCTTTTTACATCTCAGTACTGATTGGATATCTACCACTCCTAATTTTCCATTTTTATTTTAGTATTAATTACCACTCTTAATAGCCAAAATCATACCCTTTTTGAGCACAGTTACTCGTATATCCTTACTGACTCTTAGTCATTTCTCCTCCACCTGCCGTTCAATATCCTCCCAACTATCCTCAATATTTTCTCTGCCCATCTCTCTTTGTCTCTCTTGCTCTTTCTCTTCATATGCTCTATGCCACAAAGTACTTCTAGAGAGCCTCTTGGTTCCATGCGAATTGCATGTACCTGATGTAGCTACCTCTTCCTCTTCATTATCAAGACTGAACTGGCTCTCTTCAGCCTCCGAATTTTCAATGAGAGACTCCTCAGCCGGAGCCTCACATGTACTAGTAGGCTTGATGCCTAAATGCGGAATATTGCAAGCCTTTTTTAGTTGTCCTCCTTGAGGGGCAATCCTTTGCATATGCTTTCGTTTCTTGTTTGGTGGGGGCATCTGAATTGTGATATGGCTCTGAGTATAGAGTACTGTTGTGGTTACTATTGTTATCTTACATGGCTGGTCTCTAATGCCCCCTTTACCCATACTCATCAATTCTCACTCATCAATCCCTCCCAGTATATTTCAGCATGCTACTAGGTATATTTGGTCCCCTGTTTCACTCTCACCAAATTTTTCACTTTTTATTCTGGGACTCCTCTTGCTATGAATACTTAATTAAGAAAGAAAAACCGCTACCCTGTTCTCCTTGGAAGTGCCTTCATTGTAGCGGTTTTTTTTTATCAAAATTCCATGTTTTGGTGGACTAGTCCCAGATCGTATTTGGCCTATTTTGAGGTCCCGGTTTGACCTCATTTGCACTATATACCGGCCACCGGCTGCCTTTGGGGCCCATTCATCTATGCCTCCTAAACTAAAATCCTAAAATAATTATCAACCCGCTCAGGAGGTCTCTCCGGGACAAACCCTCCAATACGCTTTGGGTTCGCTGGCCCTAACTAACCAATGTTTTTCATTGTGTGGGAACGGTTCATGGACTTGGGGCGCGGGTACCGCTTCAGTGGGGTGGGTTGGATCTAGACATGTTCAACCGGGCGTGCCAATCTCACTCCGCAAATTTTTCGTGCCCAGTTTTGCATCTTGAGCGATTCTCGTGGCAATGTTCTGCAGAGCCGCCACCACTATGGGCGCTCCTCCATAGTCTCTGCCAGGTCAATGTAACATTATGGCTCAACCTCACCTTGTGTCTCAACTTCATTTGGAGGCTTCGTGCAACTTTGTGGCCCAATGTCACCTTGTGGCTCTTGTCACTTTGTTGCTAAATCTCACCTGTCAGCTCCCTTTATCTTTATTATAATATTCAAGTTAAATTTAGTATAGTTTAATACAAAACGGTTGAATTTTCATCTAGTACACCAGTGTTCCCAAGCGTCCAGTCCGTCCGTCTTTTCACTAGGACGGGACGGACGCCGCATTTTCTGCCCTTGCCGGGGACGGACCGTAGGGCCCTACAGGCCTTTCGAGTGATAAGGTGTGATTGGGCTATGAAATGAAATGAAACGCCAAGCATAAAAGACTGATTGCCAACAACGGTGACGAACTTTTTATCATCCTACCGCTTACGGCTTGGGAGATAGACCGAGTCAACCCTAACTCCCATTCGAGGAATGTGATAATGCTTCAAACATATTACTTGTAGTTACATAACACGGTTTGGATAGTGCAAAGTATAAGAAAATAGGGAAAATGAGACACCGTTTCTTGACCAGGTGGCTTATCGGATGTGAGATATACTCCTATCCCGCTGGTATGAAAACGGGCCACGGACCTACTTTGTCAATGAACCATGTATATCCCACTACGATGTGATTCAGGGGGTGACAATCTATTATAGGCTAGTGTGAAAAATACCTATAGGGCCCGGCCGCCACCTACAGGACTGCAGTCATTATGGAAGACGGACGCCGTGCCCGGCCGTCCTTACCCACCCTGCCCGGGACGGACGGGACTATAGGACGCCAGGGCCCTGCAGTCCGCCCGGGACGGTTGGGAACACTGCAGTACACTCACATCGCCACAATGTAATACCATCTCCACTATCCTTCACCCGTGCCATCAAGCCAAGTATCGCCCCCATGCTGACAATAGCCCACGAGACAGACAAAGCGTACAGTGTTTTAGCTTCTTCCAAAAGCGATGCACCCACCGCCGCCAGGCTGGGAATAATAAATATTACGAACCTCGGTAGCGATTCCTTTCAACCCGGGGACTAAATGACTCCGTGAAGCATTAAATGCTACTCCATTTCCTCACCGTGCCATTCAGTCGCTCACCTAGTTCGACAGTGGCTTGATTGTATTCCTGTTACCCGAAAACTGAGGCCAGAGAGCAGCCGGTCTAATTTCTGGCAAGTGCCATACTCATAATTCTTGATTACGATAGAATCACGATCATAGAGTATTCGGATCTTGCACTACCAGTACGGTATTTCTAGCAGCTCAAATATTATATACCCTAAGATACTCCCGAGCAGGCGAGTGAAAATGAACAGCGTAGCAACATTGAGCCACAAAATTACATAGAGCCACAAAATGATGTTGAGGTTCAATATGATGTTGGGCCAT